CTGGCGGGGGCGGCCGCCGCGCTCTACCTGGCCGGGGAGCCCCTCATCCCCACCCTCCGCTACCTCATCGCCCACCTGGTGGCCCTGCAGCTCGGGGTGCTGCTGAAGGGCATCTGCTACCTGGCTGAGGAGATCTTCCACCTCCAATCCAGGTGAGACACGCGTGGGGTTACCCTGGGGAGAAAGGACGTGGCAGCCCCCGGGTGGCAGGAGGGATCTGGCCCCTGTTTCAGCCCCCCCCACGGGTGCTCTCGGTGGGAATGCTCTGCTGTGCCCCAGCAGGACATCTCACCATCAGCCTTGGGTCCTTCTCAGCTCCTCCTCTCCCTTCTCCTGCCTGCCCAGCTCCCCGTATGTCCACAGGCCTCTCCCCTTCCACTCTGTGACAGCTCCTGAGGGGCTCCCTTTCCCCTGGGGGCAGATCTCAGCCCCAGTGCCCAGTGCTGGGGGGCACGGGGCTGTCAGGGACAATCTCCCCTCGCTGTGCAGGGCAACACTGCATCTGCTCCCCCGAGACCCTTGGGCACTGTGAGAGACCCGAGCCCTCTCCCTGCAGGGGCACCTGGGGCGCACTGAGCAGGGTCCCACAGGTCAGCAGGGAGGTGGGAGCACCCCGTGGGCTGCAGGTGGGGATGGTGGGCGGCCACCAGTGTGTCCCCTGTCCCTTCTCTCCCATGCAGGCACCACGGCAGCTTCCAGAGAACCCTGTGTGCCTGCTTCCCCCTGCGCTGGCAGGGCCTCACGCTGCTGGTCTGTGGCTCAGCCTACGTGGCTCTTCAGGATGGAGATGGGCAGACACTCGGCCTCCAATTCACCCTGATCAGCATGTGCCAGCTCCTCATCCTTGCCCTGGGGCTCCACGTGAGGCACCAACACCTCCAGCCTGGCTGGGCACCCCAGGGAGCTTGGCAGCCAAGCAGTGGGGGGGGCAGCCCCCACTGTGGTTAGCCCAGCCCCTCAGAGCTGGCAGCCAGGCCCTGCTGACACCAAAACATCTGTCGATGAGCCTGGGGAAAAGGGGAGCCCATGTGGTCTCCAACGTGTTCATTATCAGGCACACTGTGGGTGGCAAAGCCAAGCTCCAGGGATCTCTGCAGCACTGGGGGGGGAGGCTCTGCTGTACCCCAGCAGAGCTGGAAGGGGAGAGAGGGGTGTCACAGGCTACGGAAAGGTGCTCTGGGGAGGGCAGCCCTCGGGTTCCTGTGGGGCTTCAACACCCATTTCCACCTAAATGAACGCACAGAACTGGCAGGGGACACCAGTGGCCCTTGACATCCCACCATCAGGTGCTGGGATGTCTCCTCCCACATGCTGGAAGCACTGGGCAGATGCATAAGTTTCGCTGGACACACAATCCCAGTGGGGGATGCAGCCAGAAACATGTTAGGCTCACACCATCATCAGCCTCCTCATCTGCAGGGACTGTGTGGGTCACCCAAGTCTCTTGGTTCCACTGCCAGGAGTGGTGGTGGAAGTGGGCAGCAGGGTTCATCACTCCCCAGACATCTTTGAAGAAGGCAGCTTCTCCAGTCCCTGTTGCAGAAGAAGACTCCTTTCATCACCACTGGTCTCTTTCCTTCCCTCCACAGAAGCCCTCAGCAGTGGAAATCTCTGAGATGTCTGAGAGGTCCAAGCAGAACGTTGCTCATGGACTTGCCTGGTCTTATTACGTTGGGTACCTAAAAATAGTCCTGCCACGTACGTAGCTGTTCCCCTGCCTTATCCTGCCTGCAGACAGAAATAGCTCCTAATAACCATCCTCCCACTTTTACAGTGTTAGGAAGGAAATGGGGAGCCCGGTGGAAAGCAGCTCAACTCACTCCAGGCACTTCTGCCTGATGCTCTTTTCCACCAGGGGTGAAAAAGTCACTGGAGGAATTCAGCAGAGCCAACCCCAATGTGCTGATATGCAGGGAGACCCGGAAGCTCCACATCTTGATCCCTCTGAGCTGTGATGTCTATGATGACCTGGAGAAAGCTGACAGCAACATCCAGTACCTGGCAGACCTCAGTGAAACCACCCTGACCCGAGCTGGCACCAAAAAAAGGGTCTACAAACACAGCCTCTACAGAATCAAGGATGAAGACAAGGTACAGTGCGTGCAGCATGGGGAGGGCAACCAGCTTGCATCAGCCCAAAGGTCTTCCTGGCCTCAGATCCCAGCCCAGAAGTGGCCATAAGGGCAGGACATTGTCCCCTCTCCTGTCAGATACTGCCAGCTTTCAGCAGTTCTCCATGAGATGGAGAGGTGCCACCTGCACCCCTTCCTCCTGGCTGCCTCCTCCCGGGCTCAGCCCTTGCAGGGATGTTGGGCACAGTGCTAGAGTTGATTTAAGTCTGGAAAGCAGCAGAAAACTGAACAGAAAAAAAGCAGATGTGGGATCCACAGCATCAGTTCCCATGGGACTAATGAATATTTCCCTTTGTTCTGAAGAGGTGCTTGAAAACGTCAGTGTGAGCTGTCACATAATGACTCCTTCCCCTCCCCCTGGTATCTGTTTCCCGGGCTGACAAGCCCTAAATCCCCCTTTCTCACATGGCATTCATCTCCTTCCACATCTCCAGGCAGATGGGCCTCTGCCCCTGCACCCTGGGAGGAGGGAACACCCTGGTCCTGCTGACACAGCCGTGGATGGAGGCAGTGGCAGCGTGATGCTTCTCACCTGGGTCTCCCCACTTTGCCCTTTGATGGTTGGCTGAGCACTGAGCTGCTGCTTTTAAAGCCCTGCCTGATTCCAGAGGCTCTTCCCTGGCCCCGCTCCTGGGCAAATATGGTCAGTGTCAGGTTTTTTTCCTGCTTCAATGCTGTGTTTCATCTGCCAGTCTCCTGCTGAGTCACTCAGCACCAGGGGAACTCCAGCAGCTCTGCAGCCTGGCCCTGCCCTCACCCGCTGCCTCTTGCCAGCCCAGTCCCTCAGCTCAGTGCCCAAGCTGCTCAGCACAGCCACACAAGCTCCTGTCCTTGGCACCTGCTCTGGATCACTGTGGAGACTGCCCTCCAAGGCTGGGAGCTCTTCATTTACTCTGCATTTACCCAGGGATCCCATCCCTCTTCCTTCTCTAACACACTTTATTACTTTCCAGTTTTCCCAGTAGAAGTCTTACTGGTAACCCTGCTCCTCCTTGGAATTTTTATGGCCTTAATTAACCTCTCCGCGTGTGTTCGATCAGCCTCCTTAGCAGGGCATTTCTGCTGTTTTCCTGCTCTCCACTAGGATGCTCAGAGTTCCCCTCCTCTAGCTGGAAAGCCACGAGGTGTGATCAAAAGCAAAGGGGATGTCCACAGAGGACCAAACCCTCTGGGGAACATCCCTCCCTCCCCAGGCTGCACCCGGAGCCACGAGGGAGGGAGGCAGCTTCCCGAGCCCACCCAGCACATGGGGCACAGCTGCTCTGTCCCTTCTCAGCAGGGGGACACAGGACAGAGTCCCTGTCCCAGGGTCCCAGCACACAGCACCAGTGCAGGGCAGACCATGGAGCTGCCGAGGGGTCTCCGAGGGCTCTGCTCAGCACTGGGGTCCCTCAGCAGCTCGTTGCCAGGCACTTGGTCCTCCTGCCCCAATGTCCTTTTGGAATGATAGAATCTTTTTAGAATCAACCCCCAGGCTAGTTTGGGCTGGAAGAAACCTTAAAAGATCATCCTGTCCCATCCTCCAGCCATGAGCAGGGACACCTCCCACCAGCCCAGGCTGCTCCAAGCCCCATCCAACCTGCCCTTCAACACTGCCAGGGATGGAGCAGCCACAGCTTCCCTGGGCAACCTGGGCCAGGGTCTCCCCACCCTCTCAGTACGGATGTTCTTCCATCCCTGCAGCTCTGGCACTGTGCTGTGGAATATGCCACCCCCCTGCAGTCCCTCTACGCCATGTCCCAGGATGAGTGTGCTGCCTTTGACCGGGAGGAGCGCCTGGAACAGGCCAAGCTTTTCTACAGGACATTGGAGGAGATCCTGAGGGGCTCCAGGGAGTGTGCGGGGACCTACCGGCTCGTTGCCTACGAGGGTGAGTGAGGAGGGGAAGAGGGTGCCCAGCACGGGGGTCATGCTCTCCCAGCCCCAGGAGTGACCTCGGACCAGGGGAAAGAAGGGGGAGCAGGAAGGATCCAGGTATTCCCACTGGAATTCCCACTGACACAGGCATGGGGTCCCTGCTGCAGTGGGGAGGAAGGAGCTGCTTCCAGTTGCAGAAGGATCTTGCTGTGGGTCTCAGAGGAGTGGGGAGGATGCTGGCAGAGCTGGTCCCTGTTGAAGGCCCCAGAGGTACCCGAGTGTCTCAAGGGGGCCTGTCAGCTCTCAGGTGCTTAAGTGACTTTTCCCCCCAGTTTGGAGGGGTTTGTGAATGCACCCCCCCATGCTCAGAAATTGCTTCCAAGACCAATGTTGACTTCATAAATTAACCAGTTTATTAAGGGTTAACACAAATTGAGGGATGAGGTTTAGGGAAAATGTCAAACTGGCAAATGGCTCCCAGTGATGTATCAGGGAGGTAACGTGTCCTTCAGGGAGGTGATGCAACAAGTGCTGTGCCTGTAAGGAGTTCCCTGAGAGAGGGTGGTGGATCAAAGGAAAGGGAGGGAGGAGTTGAGCCTGGCAGGACAGGTAGAGTGTGTGTGTGTATGTGTGATGTCTGGGTGTCTGTGTGTGTGTGATGTCTGTGTGTCTCTGTGTGTGTGTGTGTGTGATGTCTGGGTGTCTGTGTGTGTGTGTGATGTCTGGGTGTCTCTGTGTGTGTGTGTGTGTGTGATGTCTGTGAGTGCGTGTGTGTGTGTGATGTCTCTGTGTCTGTGTGTGTGTGATGTCTGTGTGTCTGTGTGTCTGTGTGTCTGGGTGTGTGTGATGTCTGGGTGTCTGTGTGTGTGTGCTCACCCTTCCCTAGCGTGTGGTTCCTGGGTTACAGCTCCTTTTCCAGCTGGCAGGCTCAGCAGCAGATCCAGAGGGGCAGCTTCTCGGGAACAGGGGGGACCCCCTGGCAGCAGCAGGAGGACCGGGCAGGCTCCAGTCCCAGTGTCACTGTCCAGAGCCAATTGGCCTCCATGAGCCCCAAGTTAGGGCAGTAACTAGCAGGGCAATGCAGAACTTGTTGCCCATACTTCCTGCCTTGTACCACTGCTGTTGTTTTGGTTTTGTTTGTCCTTGAGCAGCAGGTCTGGTTTGGGTCTGTTGGCTGGGTATGATCAGCAGGGGCCTCTGCTGGTTAAAAGGCATTTTGTTTAGATTTATGTGGGGAAGAAGAACAGTTTCCCACACCAAGACAAGCAGACTTCTGCTGGGGCAGCAAGAACATCCCTCAAGGATTAAATCTAACAGCAGATTTCCAGGGGAAGGAGCAGCTCCCTTCACTGCTGATGTTCCTGGGAGAAATGGCTGGGACTGGCCAGGCCCCCAGGCACTGGGCTGAGTGATGCTGTGCTCAGTAGCATTTCTCCTGACAGGAGACGAGGGCTTCCTCCTCTGCATTTCTCTTCTCACCTCTGCCAGAGCAGCAGGGCTTGGGAACAGCTCACTGCTTCTTGCTGACATGAAGCTCATTGTTTTCCAGAGAGCACCCAGAGCTCTCCCTGACAGGGAGAAGCGATTCTATCCAGCAAGGTAGTTCCCATCACAACAAGCAGTACTGGGAAAGCAGCACGTAGTGCCTGTATTTTACTCTTCTCTTTGTTTTATTTTCTTTATTCTGGCGTGCTGAAATGAGAACATAGGATCCGTATTTTGACTTCTCAGTTTTGGGGGCTCTCCCAGAGACTCTGCTCTGCTGCCAGCCCAGACCCCCTGCCTCGGGCCAGAGGAGTGAAGGTGGGTTTTGTCTTTCTTCTGTTCCAGACTTGGGTGAAGCAGAGCCCCACTTCTTGTCCAGAGAGATCCTGTGGCACCTCCAGCAGCAGCGTGATGAGGAGTTTGCTGTGCAGGAGGAGACGCAGCTGCAGGACCCACCCGTGTCCCTGAACTCCACGGAGCTCAACCTGCAGATCAGCACCTCTGACCTGCCACTGCCCCTGCGAAGCGACTGCTTCTAAAGCACCCAACCTGCCCAGCCCTCAGCACCACCCTGAGCCCCTTCCTCTTGGCAGCAATCCCCAGGAACAGGGGAATTCCTCCTGCAGGCACAGCCCACCCAAACCTCCTGTGCATTGTGTTTACTGGGAAGAGCAGAGTCAGGCCACAGTCCTGTGACATACTTCCCAGTTTCTCTGTGATGTATGTCTCAGATATTAATCCATGGCTTGGGTTTTTTTAATTCATCTGCTTTGATTTGGGTCATATAAAGCATGTTCCTCTGGAGTAAGCTGCACAATCCTGAACCTCGGGCACGATGTGCAGTCCACCCTTGGATATCCCACGGTCCTGGATGGGGCTTTGGAAATCCCAGCCATGAGTGTGTACCTGTGTGTGGTCCAGCACACCCAGCCAGCATGGCCTGGATGATCTGATGGCTTCTGCAGGCACAAGGAGTATGTGCAGGACTTCAAGGCCACCCTCCACCCTGATGGCCCCACCGTAGGGCAGCATTAGCCAGCCCTCCCAGGCTGGCACCACTCATGGCCTGGAAGTGTGCTCAGTGCTGAGTCCTGCCCCCACCCTGACCTTGAGCAAAGAGGGATCGGCTACAGCTTATTCCTCTCTGATCTAAAGCCATTCAGGAAACAGCTCCAGTTCCTTCTGCCTCTCCCCAGCTTTCCTTCCCGGGATAAAACTGCTCTTACCTGGCAGCTGCCACTCAGCAAAGCACCCAGGGTGAATACCAGGGCTCTGTCTTTCACACATGTGGAAGAACAGGGTAGGAGATGCCTCCCCCTGGCTCCAGCCCAGCAAGGTTACAGCAGAGATTCAGCTGGTCCTGCTGGGACTGGGCACTGGAACCCATCTCAGGATTCAATAAAACCTTAATCTGCAGCCTAATCTCTGGGTGCTGCATCTGTGCAAACGGCAAAAACAGCAGATGAAAAAGGGCTGCGAAGGGAGGGTTTGTGAGAGCAAAGAGCCAGCTCCTCCCAGCCTGCTGGGCTGCAGGGGTGTCAGGGACCTTTGCCAGGGCTGCCAGGATGTGCCAAGTGCTGGGTGCTGCACTGGCCAGAGAGGGAGAGGGGAGAGCTGGAGGCCAGGGACCTCCTGCCCTTACCTGGGTGCACTGAGCAGGGGGGCTGCACCTGGGGTGGGTGGACATGGATCCTGATCACCCACCTCCTGTTTCAGAGCACCGTTCCCAAGGGCACAGAGCGAAGGCTGTGGGCACCTGCTGGGACCCAAGGTGAGTGGATACACCAGGGCTGAGCTCAGCAACACGAGCACAGCCAGGAGCAGCAGCAAAGCCAGCACTGCTGCAGTCCCCGAGGGGTCACACCTTCAAATCCTCCGGGATCCTCGTCAGGCATGGACGTCGTGTCCTTCCTGACTCCCTGCTCCCTCCCCACGTGGACAGTTCTTATCTTGCCCATCACCACCTCCAGTCAGGTCGGGCTGAAGATGTCTGATGAGCTCAGCCCATGTCAGCAGGGGACGGGTAGAAAGACAGGCACAGGCCCAGAGGACACCTGACAGCACCACCTGGTTCCAGCAGCAGCCAGAGGCTCAGCTCCTGCCACAGCTCAAGGGCAAAGCCAGGGCCAAGCACTCATCTAGGTGAAAGCTTCTGCTGGCAGAGTCAATACTCCCAGGTAGAGCTAAACCAGAGACAGAAAAATAAAACCTCAGAAGAAGAGGGGACTTGCTGCCCCATCTGGCAAACATTTTGCCCACAGGCTGCCCTCAGCTGAGCTTTTTGGGCTGGTTGCAGTGTCCCACCTCAGGCCTGACTCAGGACTCCACAGCTTCTGGGGCAGCTGAAGGTGCTGCAGGGCACCAACAGCACAGACACAGCCTGGCCCACCCCTGGTGTGTCCCCCCATGCCCACTGTGCCCACCATGAGAGGGTAGAAGCCCTGGAGCTTGGAGCTTGAAGTGCTTTACCATTTGCCACAGAGAAATGACCCTATTTGTCTGCAGATTTAATCCTTCACAGTTTCTCTAGCCCTGAGACTGTGCATTTATCACTGCTTTGCTCAAAATAAAAACAAACAAACAAAACTGAAGTCATTTAAATTCAGTTTGTGGTGGGAACTGGAGTTGATCAAGTGCTGCACAAAATGCTTGTGCAGTCACTGATCATTACCAGCAGCTTAAGGGAAGACAAGTGACTTAACCAAGAGAAATGATGCAGCAGTCCCACTTGTGGGGAATCTGCCTCTTTTCTCCCTCTTGCTGGCTGTGCTGAGGGGGCCTGTCCCTGCAGGGGCTGGGAAAGAGCATCCTTGCACTGCTGGTGGTAAGAGACTGGATCCTGGAACGTTGAGATCTCTCACCTCATCCCTGCTCACACGCCTGGTGCTGAAGCCTCATGCCAAGTGTGCCCCTTGGCTGCAATGTTGCTTCCTAATGCAAGAGTCACTTTTGAGCCCTCACAAATGCCATGATCTTTAACTATAAACGCTGACACTAACAAAACAGATTCTCCAGGAGGCCCCAAACCTGCCTCCCTGTGAGGCCATCTCTGGTGCTGAGAGGCAGGAAGTGTTTCCAGCTTTGTTTGCTCCACTCCTGGGAGCTCCAAACCCATCCTGACACTTGGGACCTTTATGATTGTGTGAGAAGGTCCAATTATGGAGCCTTGCAAATACAGGATGACTCTGCATCTGGGACAGGAGGGCAGAAGAAGCCAAAGGTAACTATTTCTGAAGGTTGACAGTAGCTAAAAAGCTGGATCAGGACCTACTGGGCTTTGTGTCTTTCAGCCTTTTATCCACGTAAGCTCTGAAGAGCAGCTCAGTTTGGCTGGCAGCTCTGCAGGTCCAGAGCTAAGCACACTTTGTGAAGGATGCTGTTTGCAACCAGCAGCGGTTACACCTCGTGGAGCTGAAACAAAGCAAGTTCCCGGCAAAGAGGTGTGGGTGCCGGGCAGGGCTGTGCCCTCGCACCGCCCGCTTCTCCTCCTGCAGGAGCGTTTAGCGGGGCTGCCGGTGGGTGCTCCCACCTTCCGCGGGGACACAGCCACGGGAGGGAGCGGCAGAGACCGTTCCACAGGGCTCTGCTGCCCTCCAGTGCTGCTCCACAGCCCTTCCCGCAGTTCCCAGCCCGCGCCGCGCCGAGTTGCGCTTCCCTGGCGCGGCGGTTCCGCTGCCACCGGTTCCGTGGGTCGGTGCCTTCCGTGCTGCACAGCCCTGCTTGAAGGGGGGACGGGTTCATGAAGCTCTGGCCCGTCTGTGGTTGAAGTTCAGCACGAGTTAACAGGTTCCAAGGGGCCGAACAGGCTCCTTTTAGCCCCTGTTGCTCTGGGGCAGGCACTGCTCTTGATCACTGGGGGCTGGATCTCTGTGTTTCAGGGAAATGGCAGGAAGATGAATCAGGGGAGGGTTAGGTGGGATACCAGGAGAGGGGGTTTCACCCAGAGGGTGGTTGAGCACTGGAACAAGCTCCCCAGGGCACTGGTCACAGCACCAAGGCTGCCTGAGTTCAAGAAGCCTTTGGATGATGCTCTCAGGCCCATGGGGTGATTCTTGGGGTGCCCTGCACAGGGACAGGAGTTGGACTCATGGTCCTGATGGGTCCCTTCCAGCTCAGCATATTCCATGATTCTATGATCCTGCCAAGTGAGGAAAACAGCAGCTCAGTCCTTCAGCCTCAGTGGGACCCTCACACCTCTCGGACCTAAACCAGGTGCTGTGAATTCACTGCCTCTGCTGTGCAGGGCTCCAGCCTCTGAACCCACAGCCCCTCTCGTGTCCCCTTCCCACAGGCTCAGGACAATGGATATGGGGGGTGCATAAATCAAACCCGACAGTCCAGAGGCCCTCACAGGGCCGTGGTGAAGCCCTTGCAGGTGCCCCAGTGCAGAGCTGTGCCTGCAAAGTCACACCTTGAAATCCTCGAGCACCCACGGGGGCAATGGAGACACAAATCCCAACGTCTCCATTTTTAATTAAATTGTCAGCCAAGCCTCTGAAATGTGCATTTCTCAGGATCCACCAGCCTTGCTTGTAGTTCCGTGGTGCCCAAGCTGAGCTGCTGCTGTTCCCCTGTTGCTGGCACTGCCAGTGGATGTGCTGGGTGGAGCACAGTCCCTGGCACCACTGTGGGTGCTTGGGGCTCACAGAAAGGTGACCGAAGACATGGAAGAACAACTCAAAGCCCCAGGGAGGGAAGGAGGTGCCAGTTGGTGGCCACAGGTGGCTCACACAAGGGTTTGGTCTTGTGCCAGTTTTCTGCTAAGTGTAGGTCACATGCAGTGGGGGCTTTTGGAGCCCCCCAGCACAGGATGTGCTGCTCCCTGGGAACCTGAAGTGTCACAAATGATCCTCACACAGAAAGAGGGAGCAGGGGGTTCCAGGGGCAGCAGCAGCAAACTTCTCAAAAACCAAACAAAGACCCAAGCCCCACTCACTGCAGCAGACAAGTTGCTACCAAGAACAAGGCTTCTGTAGAACAAGATGAGGAACCAGGGCTGATTCCCTCACAAAACATGTTTCTGGGGGGCTTGGCTTCACCACCTGCTGCTCAGACCCACCTCCTCACGGAGCTCCTTCATCCTCTCCTCAAAGTCATAGTCCTTCTGCTTCTCCTCCATCTTCTTCTTGTTCACCTCAAAGCGTTTCTTCACCTGGTCCAGCAAGGGCAGAGCTGGAATTTATCAGAAGACCTTTAAGAAGCTCCCTTAGGAGACCATTAAGCATTTGCTATTATCCTGGTTTCGCATCAACTTTCTGTTCAGAAAAGCTGCATTTCTGAGCAGGCTGCAGTGGGAACCAAGTTGGCAAAGACACTTTTCTCTAGTGG